GCTGAGATCTCAGCGACTCTGAACGCTATTCGCTCCAAGGACCCCCGTGTCTATGATAAGGATGTCACCTTCTACACCAAGTTCGACCCCGAGGAAGCCAATGCCGCAAAAGGACCTAAGGAGAAGTCCATGAACCTGCGCCAATACCACACCGAGAACCTCTTGAAGGGTGTCAACCCTGCGGAGGAGGAAAACACTCCTAGGACCTATGCGCAAGAGCAGGCCGACTTAAAGAATGACCTTGTCAAGGAGATGCACGGAGCGGCTGAATCGGATGAAGAGATGGAAGATGCCGATGAGTTCTTGGTTCGGAAGCCCGGTCAGGACACATCATTGCCCAAGCCTGAGATCAAGCTCGACATCGAGAATGCAGACAAGGACCCCGAGACTTTCCTGTCCAACTTCCTGTCTGCGCGAGCCTGGATTCCTGCTGACAAGCCAGAGCTACACCCATTCGATTCCGATGATGATGACGATGTTGAGCGGGCAGACGCCTTGGAGGAAGCATACAACTTCCGTTTCGAAGACCCCAACAAGATGAACGAGGCTCTTGTTACCCACTCTCGTGATCTCACCAACAAGCAATCTGTCCGTCGAGAGGAGAAGAGCTCTCGCAAGAAGATTCGTGATGCCGAGCGCCAACAAAAGGAAAACGAGAAGAAGCTTCGCGACACCGAGAAGAACCGTCTCCGCAAGTTGAAGACTGAGGAGCTCCAGAAGAAGGTCGACCAGATCAAGGAGGTTGCCGGTCTTCGTGCCTCAAATTTCACTGATGATGACTGGTCTCGCTTCTTGGATGACGCTTGGGACGATTCCAACTGGGAGCAGGAGATGCAAAAACGATTCGGCGAGGAGTATTACCATGAGGGAGAGGGCAGTGACAATGGCGATGGCAAGAAGCACAAACCCAAGAAGCCTACATGGGATGACGACATCGACATCAACGATCTCATCCCAGACTACGAAGACGGCGAGGCGCAGCCCACGGTCGAGTCCGACGCAGAGGAACAAGATGACGACGAAGCCACCGGCTCCAAGAAGAGCAAGGCCGAAGCCAAGCGCGAGCAGAAGCGCGAAGCCCGCAAGGACCGTCTTCGCATTGAAGAGGCCGTCGACCGGAACCTTGATCTCGATATTACTTTGCTCCCCGGAGCCACCAAGAAGAACGCCACTAAGTTCCGTTACCGCGAGACATCGCCGCAGAGCTTCGGCTTGACTGCCCGGGACATTCTGATGGCGGATGACACACAGCTCAACAAGTTCGCAGGTCTGAAGAAGTTGGCCTCCTTCCGCGAAGAGGAGCAGAAGCGCCGTGACCAGAAGAAGCTGGGCAAGAAGGCCCGTCTTCGTGAGTGGCGTAAGGAAACCTTTGGCAACGAGGATGGGCCGGAGTTCTCATTCGGTGGGGATGCTAAGCCTAGGCAGTCTGAGGAGACTGGTGAGGCTAAGGTTGATATTAGAGAGGGTGATGGCACGAGGAAGAAGAGAAAGAGGTCGAAGAAGCACTAAATGTGGTGTTGTATTTACCATTGGCTAGGGTTCGAATTATGACCAAAATAAGCATTTTTACGTCTTTCATCAATTAACTCCTGTGTTTAGTCGTAGAATATAAAGTCAAGTGGAAATTTCAGGAGAGAAGCCAAACCCTTGAAGTTATGCCAGGTGTCCACAGGATATATATTCTAGAACTGACATTCCATCACACCTCAATCACAACAAAGTTCCAAAATAATCGCACGTAGACTACGAATCTACACCTTCTCACCATATTAACCGCATCCAACCTACAAGATCGTCACCACCGCGGCTTTCCAGCTCAAAATCTCTGTCCAACACAGCAGCCAAAAGTGGCAAGCCTCCATGCGACCGGGCCCACCAAACTAGCGTTGCTGGGGAGGTTCATTGTTTTGATTACCCCAAGCTGATGAAGCTCCCCCCCGAAATTTACCTACAGTATCCTCTTGACCCATTTACCTCGTAGCAAAAGAGTCGAGAATCAAGGAAAGTGGGTACGACGTATTATGGGCGGGTACCTGGCATTGTCCAACAACGGATGTACCCAGGTACATTGTCCATGCGTAAGTTCGTCACTCTAAAGCTTGTACCTGCGACTTGGATGTATTGGAAAAATGTCTCATATAAAACCAAATCAGATCTTGGTATCCCTCACATGCTATGCTGCAATATGCAGAGGTCTGCATGTGTTGTTACTGCGGCAGCGAAGAGGCATGGGTCATATTTTATGTAAGTATTTGGTGCATTTACTGTGATGATTAGATATTGACAGATGCAAGATGGCCAAGCTGAATCTGTAAAAGAGATTCCTGATGTAGTAGTCCGGCGAAAACCTTCAGTCCGAAACAAAGGTTTAGCAATGTAACTCACCAGGGAACTCTACTCCAGAGCCATAGCTCGACTCAATGTTGACCACACCGAGTACATATGCCCGGGCGCTAGACTATACGTCGGTGGCAAGTCCGATATCAATTGCCATCGGATGCTCGGCCAGCAGAAAGGAGGCCTCGGGGAGTGGAGGCCCGGCATTGGACGGGGAAATTTACACCGTACGCTTGGACCGTTGCTCGGGACTACGGGGATTTGGGAATATTATATGGCATAGGTAGTAAAGTTGTAGATGAAGCTATGAATAGAAAATCGGTATAGGCATTGATAGATACAATAACACCAAATAACACAAACTGAGCAAGTTATGCGCAGAACAAAGCAAACTGGCCGAATGCAGAATTTTCAGTGGATCGGGAGAAGTCGGCCAGAGGCAACACAATACATGGTAATTTCCGTATTTGTACCCTTGGCTCTTCCTGATTGGGCACTAGTGGCTGGATCCCGTGTACAGTATTTTTTTTTTCCTGGCCCCCTTCCCGCCTTTCTCTTCCTTTTCTTCCTTCTCATCCCTGGTGTCTCTTTCTTCTTGACAACCATCTCCTCTCTTTTTTTTTGCATCCCGTTTTCTTTGCACAACATTCACAATGGGTTCCGGTGAGGTTAACCAGGCCGACAAGTCGGTCTTCGGCATGCCCGTAAGTCTTCCCAAGGGATACGCGTGAATTCAGATGGAGTTGCTTCGCATCTCCATCTGGATGAATCGCGATTCAATCATCAGACACGTTCTACCCGGATGTGCATCCATCAAAATAAACATGCTAACAATCTCTATAGGGCTTCGTTGTCGACTTCCTGAGTACGTTTCACGCCTTCAGCTCTGACTAGCAACAGCCAGTTGAAAACACAAGAAAACAAATACTAACTGCATCACAGTGGGTGGTGTCTCCGCCGCTGTCTCCAAGACCGCTGCTGCCCCCATCGAGCGTATCAAGCTCCTGATCCAGAACCAGGTTGGTAACCACCACTCATCAAGCACCGATTGGAAGGACCAGAGAAAGAAGACCGATCTGAATCATAATCGCGATCGATTGTGAATCTCAGAATTGGACATGAGCAGCGTTTTGATATAGTTCGCCTGCCCGTGAAAATTTTTTCCTCTAGCCCTGCCGATCGGCAGCTACATGTTGAAAGAAAGAATCTAACCAAATGGCTATATAGGATGAGATGCTCAAGGCCGGTCGTCTCGACCGCAAGTACAACGGTATCGGTGACTGCTTCAAGCGTACCGCTGCCGCTGAGGGTGTCGTCTCTCTCTGGCGTGGTAACACCGCCAACGTTATCCGTTACTTCCCTACCCAGGCCCTCAACTTCGCTTTCCGCGACACCTACAAGTCCATGTTCTCCTACAAGAAGGAGCGTGATGGATACGCCAAGTGGATGATGGGTAACCTTGCCTCCGGTGGTGTATGTAACCCCTGAAAATCTCTGCTCTGAGCCGCACTAACAGATCCTAGGCTGCCGGTGCCACTTCCCTCCTCTTCGTCTACTCTCTGGACTACGCCCGTACCCGTCTGGCCAACGACGCCAAGTCCGCCAAGGGTACCGGTGAGCGCCAGTTCAACGGTCTCGTGGATGTCTACCGCAAGACCCTCGCCTCCGACGGTATTGCCGGTCTCTACCGTGGTTTCGGTCCCTCCGTTCTCGGAATTGTTGTCTACCGTGGTCTCTACTTCGGCATGTACGACTCCATCAAGCCCGTTCTCCTGGTTGGTCCTCTTGAGGGCTCTTTCCTCGCCTCCTTCCTGCTCGGCTGGACCGTCACCACCGGTGCCGGTGTCGCCTCTTACCCCCTTGACACCGTCCGTCGCCGTATGATGATGACCTCCGGTGAGGCCGTCAAGTACAAGTCCTCCATGGATGCTGCCCGCCAGATCGTCGCCAAGGAGGGTGTCAAGTCTCTCTTCAAGGGTGCCGGTGCTAACATCCTCCGTGGTGTTGCCGGTGCCGGTGTCCTGTCCATCTACGACAAGGCCCAGCTCCTCCTCCTCGGTAAGAAGTTCTAAGGGATTCACTGAGAATGTGAATCTTTAGCCATTGTAGTTATACTGGAAACAGGGGATGCAAACCTGCCCGGTGTAACCACTGGGCGTGGAAGTCGAGGTTGTGGGATGGTCAAAAGATAGATGCGTCAAGAAATGGGTCGGGGGGATCTTGAAGCATAGAATGGTGTGATTCTTCCCTTATTTGTACCCAATGTACTTTACTGCCTGCAAACTCTTTTTCTTTTCTTCATTTACTCCGCTGTAAACAAGTCAAATTGAACAACTTGAATTGGAGACACGTCGCCTTATGGATTTTTGGCAGGGACCTACTTCACGTAGTGTATAACACCTGTTCGTACAGCTCACCACCATGAACTGCACAAACAGCCAACACAATGTGTAATTCCATAAGAACACGGCATACTATAGTGCACTGTACCATCCATTCCACAGCCATCTCCAACAAGAAGTTCCCAAAATAAGCAAATCAACCCAAAGCGGCCAACGGCTCCACAACGGAAACAGCCATGACGTCTAGCTCCCTTGAGGCTCCCCGGCTACCCTTTACTTTCCAACCTCTCCCCTAAACACATACCGGTACCATAAATCAAAATGTCTACTCCAACCGGTATCCAAACCTACACCTCTGCGCCCGTCAACGCGAACAAGACGGAAGAAACAGAAACACAGGCAACAACCTCACACCCCCAACCCGCCACCGCAATCGAAGTCGAAGCGTCTAAAACAGATCCCTCCCAGCCTGCTCAGAACCCAGCGACGACGACAGCTACAGCTACAGCGCCGTCAGCTGCTTCTATCTATACAACGGCCAACCCCTCAGATTCAGCTCCAGCTCAGCCCGGCGCGGCAGCAGGTCTGCCAACGCCTACAGCGACCGCCTCGCAAACAGACAGTTTATCAGCAACACAAACATCCCCAGAATCCCTAACTGCTAGGGCTACATCACCTCCACAACCACAACCAGGCGCGGTCCCAGAGCCTCCAGCTCCATTTCCTGCTCCATCAACCCAGTCCCCAATCCCGCCACCACCTAAAGCAGGCGAAGCAATCTCCCCGCGAGCCCAAGTACCTGCAACAGCAACAGCAACAGCACCTACAGGGACAGCCACAGGAGGACAATCAGGTCAACCCTTCCAACCATCCTACACAAACTCCTACGCCTACAACCCCTCCCCTCAACCCCAAATCCACCAAAACACAATCCCAAACTCAACATCCGCACCTTACAACACCGTCTATCAAACATCCGCCGGACACCGTCCCTATTCCCAGACCCAGGCTCTCCCGAATTATAACAATAGTGCTTCTGGGAGTGGGCGTGGTGGGTATGGGTATGGATATGGGAGCGGGAGTGGATCAGGATCAGGTGGTGGAGCGGGTGATGTGTTCCCCGATGAGGGTGGGTTTATGAGTGCGGCCAAGGGGTGGATGCAGGCTGCTGGGAGTAAATTGGCGGAGGTCGAGAAGGAGGTTTGGAAGAGGATCAATGATGCTCATGATGAGAAGTAGATTTTGGGTATTGGGATTGGTCTTAACCTTGGGGTTGTTGATTTGCACGTTGCTGTTACGTATCTGTACAATTGGTTTTGGATTTTGGATTCGAGTTGTTGGGTGGTTTGGTTTGGTCTGGTTTGTGTATTATGCCTACTGGATATGATATGATATTGGGATTAAATTGAATCATTCATGACTGCTTGACTTTCCACTTAAAGCTTGGTATTGGTATGGAGTGTGGATTGCATTGATGCTATGTGCATGGTAAGAATATCAATATCAACCCAACCGAAGCAAATGAATGCAACGGTTCCTGGTTCCTGTTCCTAACCACCCAAACTGGGGGTTGTATATGACTATGTACTTCCATCCTCGATCCTCGGTATCCGACCGAAAAGACCGAAAAGACCGAAAAGAGTAAAGAGTAAAGAGTAAAGAAAAAAGAGAAAAGAGCAAAAGGAAGGGAGAGATTCAGCCTAAGATCAACCCCAAGACAATGCAAGAATGGATAAAATCTGCAATGTACACATGAATAGGAATGAGAACGACAGAAGCGCGAAGACAATTTCTCAGTTGGATCAGTTAAGATGACTGAGACAACCAACAAGATGATTCTAACGGAGATATGGAGCCAGTGCGGTGCAGTTAAGACGACCGGGACCATGTTCCAGGTTGGTTTCTGTATTGATTGGGGAGTTGTCATAGACAGAGATAGAGAGAGAAAGACAATGTGGACCCATAGAAATGTAAGAAAGAGAAGAGAAAGGAAATGAAGTATTAGAAAAAAGGTCCAAAGTATGAAAAAGGACATGATGTCGCAGCTGTTGTAGCTGACACGACTGATGCAAGGTAATAACGCCGGAATGACCAGGTGGCAAACAATGGATGAGCATTGTGAGCCAGTCCAGGACATCAAAGAAAAGAGATGAGACAAAAAAGGGGTATTTGGACTTGCCATAGCGCAGTCTCGAGCAGGACTGGCAACTCTGAATCAGATGACAAGTGGTTCGTAGCAGGGCATGACAGAAAGAAAAAGGGAGGAATTAAACGCCGTCTTTGGAAAACCCAATACCACAAAAGTCCCAACGCCGATTGCCCGGGCTAGTTGCACTGCAAGCTAGCCAAATTCTGAAGGCTTTGTATTTTCTGGATTATCGCGAAAAAAGAAAGACACATCGAGAACGGTCCAGACCAGCTCTGACGGCTTGAAGAAAGATGAGAGAAACGCCGATCGTGGGTGGGGCTTTACATGGAGCCCAGGCGGAGAAGTGCCTCCACCGCGGCGCGTTCCTGGGTGTCAAACGCGCGGGGTGTGGATTTGGCCACAGGTCCATCTGGAGGGAAAATGACAGGTTGGGGCTTTGCGCGCGCTGCGACGTTGTTGAACATGCCGCCGGTGTTGAGCGAACGGGCGCGCAACGCATCCGCGCCAATCTGCGCCCAGTCCTCTTCATCGGTGACATCGCCTTCATCCCACTCGTTCTCTTGCATTTCATCGGGGGCCTCCGACGAAGAACAGTACTCGCCGTCGTCGCCGTCGAGAGACATCTTATCAGCCTCGTGTTCGAGCATGTCGCGGTCGCCATGCATGCCGTAATCGTCGTTGTACGAGAACGCCGTGGACTCGGCGAAGCTCATCCGATACGGGTGCCGGACTTGCCAACCTGACTGGCCTTGAATTTGCAGACCGCGCTGCTGGAATGAATCTGCCACGCTGGAGGGAGGTGACGACGACGCGTTCAACTCGCGCTCACGCGCAGGCTCGCCGCGACGGCGCGCGTCCCAGCGGCCCCAGCCGATCTTCTCGAATACCACGTCGCCGTCGAGACCGCCGGCCTCGCCGCCATTTCCACGACCTTCTAACGCGGCGACAACCAGGCGGCGCGCCTTGGCTGGGGGAATGCGCGAGAAGCCCGGCACCGACGTTGTCAGATGGCCCATCACGTGGCGAATTGCCAGGGGGCCTTGCTGCAGTAGGATCTCGGGGAGGTGGTATTTGGCGAGCATCGCCGGGGTGATGTCGCCCGCGCTGTCCAGCTCGGCGGACTGGGGGGTATGGTTCGTGTGTTCGACGGCATCCTGGAGGTCGATATCGGAGTCCAACTGGGGGACAGTCGACAGAGGAGATCCAGGCGACAGCGCGACACGTTGTTTGAAGGCCTGAGGGGGAAGGGTGGGTGAGATAGAGTTGGGTGGCGTGGGCAGCATCGCAGGCTGTCCGCGGGTAGGCACGCGGCCGCCATCGAGGCCAGCACGACGCGGGATATCAACTGAAGCAGTCTTGCCAGCAAGAGCCATTGCAATACTGGAGGTTTGAGGAGCCATGATGGAGGAGATAGTTGTGAAAGGAGAGATGTCCTAAGCGCAACACGGGATATATGAGTCAGAAGACCTATCAAAGACGCGACAACGCGGTACCACGGGAAGGAACGATCGGGTGGCAACAGACAAAGATGTCTGTCTGTACTATGGAGTTTCTGAACAAAGCAGAGTTACTCACCTTTCACTTTGAAAAGACACGGTTCTGGGGTGGCCGTGTCAACGCGAAGTAGCTGTTAGGGCTAGGATCCACACGCAGGGGATGCGCGGTAAGGGATAGTCGCGATAAGTGACTTGAATGTGAATGTGAATGTGTGAAGAAGAGAAAGAAAGAAGGGGAATAAGAGTGACAAGTGACTACAAGATAAGAGGGGTGTGACGAGGCCCGATGCCCTGCCTATACTTGGAAGTAGAGGCGCGTGGGCCGGTTGATTGGCGCCTCGTGGATACCGGGCTATTCCGGTATAGACTCTATCTCAATACTCTTAAGTATATGGAATTATTGATCACTCTCACATATTATATATGTACTCTCTCTATTATTTGTTCTTTATTCTCTTCTTTACCCTCTGCTATCTCCTCTCTAATCTATAGTAATATATAGTATAGAGTAGATCAAGTTCTCATATCCCTGAGCAGATCGACCTAGACCTAGTACTTCGTAGCCCCAGGTACCAAAAACCCCTCAAATGCCAAGTAGCCAGTCATGGCAACTCCGAATGCTCGTGCGCCTTTTGAACGCTTGCAGCGCTTCAGGGCGTAACCCTATCATTGCCTATCTATCGGCTGATAAGCCTCGCTCGGGGCACGTGTTGCCCTATTACTCGTGATGATTTAACGATTGACAAGTCCATGGACTGTCTCCATCCAGAGTTATAGCTAATAGTGTCTTCATCTCTACGCATATGCCACACTTTCCCTTTCCCATGGTGACGTTTTCATTGTGCGATACCCCTCCATCTGAATATGTACTAGGTACATCCACTTACCCTCGGGTCCCACTATAATCTGGACTTAGCCCCTCAACGTCATAAGTACTAGTGACTTACAGATTGTCACATCTCTACCCAACTCGATAGCCGTGTTTCATTAGAAATGCCGCAAATCTCTAACTAACTCGCAACCCAATTATCTAAACAATGCGACATCTAAGGTTGGAATGCAATGCTGCATGACTGACACCGTGGCCCCGTTGCCACGAAAACCCCCGAAGAATGCCTAGCGCGAGGTCCAAGTACCTGTACCTGTACAACACACAAGCCTCTTGTACTCCCGTTGACTTGTTGGGCCTATGTGTACAGTATGCGGGAGGCCTCAATCCCCTCTCACCTGTGTGGGGTGCGGGCAGGTAGAAGCTAGAGCTGCATGTCACCTTCTATACACTTCTATTCCATACACTGCCCCAACCCCTCCATTAGGGGATATATTGTCCTAAGCCGGTTGGCGCTGGTTCCTGGTTTGCTCGCATACTTGCCCGGTTTACCCCTTCGGCATTGCCAGCCGAGGGTGTTGATTCGATGTATGTCGTACGTAGGCCGGCTATGGCTTTTCTCAGCCCTCGTGTCCGGTCGGTATCGGTGTCCGGCGTACAAGGTAAGAATGGGATTGTAAGGGGTTGTTTAGTCAATTGCCTGACTCAGAATAAGAATAGGAATAGGCAATTGATTGCGCCTCCATTGGCGTGATGATCTTTGATTTGTAGCTGTTGCTAAGTAGATGTATGTTTGGTAGACTCGGCTGCCATAACTGATCCCTCAGCCCCTCCACCGAATCCCGAGGTCATCTCCCTCACTTCACTTCACTTCACTTCTGCTGCTTCAGCCATTCCCCCAGATCAAATTGCCCGTCCCTCAAATCCCCCGTGTTCCCCACAAACATGAAGCAAATTCCCTCATCATACTCCGAAGCTCCACGTTCACCAAACCGCAGCTCACAAGCCCGAGGGGCGTAGCTATTAGTTTCATAGGCGGCAAGTCTCTCCGCATGCTCAACGCTCGCCACCTCATAGACAGATCCCTGCACCGTGTCCAGTGGCCTTCCAGGTAAGAGGGCGGGGTATGAACCCCAGAGCTTGCATTTGTAGCCGTGAAGATAGGCGGGGCGGAGGACTGGCTCCTCGGCGAGATCGAGGATGTTCTTCAGGGAGGGTTGGGTGCTGGAGGGTGCCGTAGAAGAAGTACAGGCCTGCTGGGGCGGGGCCTTGGGATTTGGGGCTTGGTGTGAAGAGGACGCTTTCTGGTGCGATTGTTCTCATTTTGAGAACGCTTGGTGATATCTTGGACTGGGGGTTTTCTGGTGGTGGTGGGGGTGGTGGTACGGCATCGCGCAATGATGATGCTTCAGTAGGTGTGTTGGCCATGATGGCCGTGATGGCCGTGATGGACGTGGAAGAGTTGGAAGAGAAAGAGAGAGAGAGAGAGAGCGAGACTTGATGAAGTGAGGCAGGTGCTGATGTTTGTGGTCATGTTGATTGTTGTGATCAAACTCCCGGTAAAAGATGGCCTTAGTGACAACCACAGGCTTTCTAGGCTACAACTTGTGAATACATCTAGTGAATGCTTATTCTTGAAACAATCTATATTTATGAACATTCAAGCTTTGGCGAACCCCGGATGAATGGAGCTTCACGATCCTGTTTCGTCAAGGCTGTTTGGCCGGCGCGGGGTTTAGTGCCTAAATACCTAGTCACTTAGCCAAATCAGAGAGCAAGCATATAGAGCGAGGGCTGCTATCCAGTAAATACTTTGTTGGTTCAGTTCATATCTGCACAATGTTCAGCTGGGCTGTGTTGTTGCTTTGGGCAATCACCGCGAAAGCAGTGAGCCCAGAGTCCCTGAACTCCGATATTTCCATTCTCATTCACAATGATCTACTAGGTAAGGTATGCTTGTTTATACATGAAAAACATAAATTCACACTTCACACAGAAACCGAAAGTCCACTAGCTAGCTCGGGAGTTCTAATCCTTGACGCGAGACCATGGAAAGAAGCCACCGAAAGCTGTCAAAAACTCGGAGAGAGTCTCTGGGGAGCACACTCCGACTTCAAGGGCATCCAGTCCAACTTGGATTACCTTGTCTTCCAAGGCAAATATGCACGCAGTCAACGTTTCTGGACCTCAACCCGAAAAGCATCAACCATCGATACCAACGGCCATATCAATACCGCTTCTGCAAATACCAGACTCCCCGTTCTCTGTACACAGAGCGCTCCACATTCAAACAAGACTTTCCAAGACACAAATTCACAATGGCAGGTGTCGGTTCACTCCAACAACGAATATCTCACCGGGTAAGAAAGCAGACGTCTGGAGAACTAGCAAGTGATGCTAATAGACCAGATTCCGAGACCGATTCAGTTTCCGCTTCCAAGGAATTCGATACGCCAAAGAGCCTCGTCGATGGGAGTATGCACAATTATACAAAGGGAGCGGTAAAAAGACTTTAGCCCTCAACTATAGCCCCGAATGTGCCCAAGGATCCACCGGCTCGGAAGACTGTCTGTTCCTCAATATATGGACACCATACCTGCCCAACCCATCAAAAATCAAAAAGACGAACCTCAAACCGGTGATGCTCTGGATCCACGGCGGAGCATTCACAAGCGGCACAGGTAGCGACTCAACATTCGACGGCACGAACCTCGCTTCTCGGGGCGAGGTAGTCGTCGTAACGATCAACTACCGCCTCGGAACACTGGGCTTCCTCGCCTTAGATGACAGAAAAACAAATGGGAACTACGGTCTAGCGGACCAAACCACAGCATTGGAGTGGGTTCGTCGCAATATCCATGATTTCGGGGGCGATCCAGACAGAGTGACAATATTCGGGCAGTCGGCCGGGGCAGGGTCAGTTCGGGCTCTACTTGAATCACCCAAAGCCCGCGGGAACTTCGCAGCTGCGATCATGCAGAGCAATCTTGGTGGCTTGGCTTATGGAACGACCTACTCGAAGTACTATACCATCGCACAGGAGATGGAAGTTGTCGGGCATGCAATTCTCACTGAGACGAATTGCACGGATGCTGCATCACAGCTTGAATGTCTACGAGCACTACCATCATCGACGATTACGTCTCTCTCTAACTCGGCACGATATCTAGTTGTTGATGGCGCCTACCTCGACCGCCCAGAGCTGGATCTAAACAATCCTTCATCCACAGCGAATATCCCTCTAATGATCGGAACGATGAGAGATGATGGTGCCGCCATGATAGGCTATCCAACAGCCGGAGAGACAATCCAGACATTCCTGAATAAATCAGGAGTACCCGAGTCCATCGCTCCGAGTCACTTATTCCCCGTTCCTTCAACGGCTAATGCTACACTTGATATCTTCAACACCACAGCCCGGATAGCAACAGACGCTATCTTCCGCTGTGTCGATGAAGCGACTGCATACGCCGGTATGACAAATCATATTTTCCCGGATATATTCTATTACGAGTTCAACCGCTCGTACCAAATGCCCGACTGGTCGCCTAATGCCCCGGTGTGCGACGCACCTACCACAGACGAATTCCCAGATGGCGATCCAAGTCAGGAGTATTTCAAATGTCATTCTGGGGAGTTGTATTATGTCTTTGGGACGATTCTTCGTCAGGGATTGCCGCTTCGCGGTGAGTTCGATTTACCCTTTGGGCAATACGTGTTGGATTCGTGGGCGAGTTTTGCGCGGTCTTATAATCCTACTCCTGGCCTTGGGTTTTTGAAGGCGAGGGGCTATGCTAATACAACTCTACTGGCTGTTGAGGCTGGGTCTTGGGCGTCGTATCGTGAGAAGGGTCAGTTTCTGTTGTTGCAGTGGCCGCCGAGCATGAGGGATCTGGTTGAGCTTGAACAGTGTCGTGCGTTGGGGTTACCTTTGGAGTACCTGGTTTAGGGGAACGTTTAGGACGTCGCGGTTGTCTCCGTTGGCTTTTGGGTTGGGATGAGTTGATGTGCCTTAAAGATCTGCGGGCCGCAAAGCTTAAACATGAGAGATCCACTGTGTGTATACAAACTGCATTGGTGTCAAGTCTAGATCTTTTCCGATGCACTTGTCCTGGCTTTTGCTAAAGATCTTGGTGAACATTCAATTTAGAGGAAATGTAGTATGACTGTAGTTGTTGTCAAGGGAGGACGTAGTGATGGACTGACCCTCGAACAAGGTGAAGCTTGCCTCTACTAAGTACATTGTCTTTTTGAACAGAACTCGAGGTGTATGAGATGCCTAGGCGAGCATGTGCGTATCATTGGGTTCATTTATAGCTAGATCAAGATTGCAATATGGGTTCCTTTTACAGGGTTTTCTTCCTCATAAACTCCAGCGAAAAGAAATGTGAAATGATGTCTGTAACATCTATTGAATACTTGTTGAAAGAATGAGAGACAAGTGAGATAGTGCGATGAGAATCAAAAGAATTCTGACCAGATTTTGTAGAAAAAGTGTGCAAAAAAACAAAAAACCACGGGAGAAGAGGGAAATAATTTCAATAGAAACGCGGGACATTTTCTAAAAAGCGTTTAAAATCTGGTCAATTCTTATAAATCTACGAAACACCTAATTACTCCAGCGGAAAGACGTAATATGACTCTTTTATAACCTCGAAGTTCGCGAAACACTGGCTATAGACCTCAAAAATGAACGAAATACCTTTTTTTCAGCCCTTATTCTACTAAGATTTTTCTTTTTTAAAATCAAAAAATCCACTTAAAATGTATTTTTTCTTTCCAGGGCCATAATTTTGCGAGGTGTTACTTTTTGACAACCACCAAGGCCAAATTCACTTTGGAACAACCTGTACAACAGTGATATATCACCATCCAAACAAACATTATGCTCTGAGCCTCCCTTCTATCATAGGTGCGATATGAATGTATGGTTTCCCCCCCTGTTTTCTGAATATCAAGTTTGCCTTTGAACGGAGAGGTCATTGCTCTCTATATATACACAGTTTGTGTGGAAACATCACATACAAAATTCTCTGAGATACAGCGTTATTGCTTTGTACCACATGAACATAAGTCCACTAAATGGATTACGCCTCCTTAATAGATTTATGAAGCCCCCCAACTTACAAATCCATATCTGAATAGTTCAACCACTTCCGACGCCACGGCTTCCGAAGAGCATCATCGAACGGACCATATCCATTCTCGGAGCTGCACTATGTATATGATTTGGTGTGCAAAGCCACAGAGGTAGTATTACTATTGCGATACAATCATACAAGCGACAGCTCAGACATCTCATACCCGCCATCAAGTGTCCTGAGCCGACGGCGGATGTATAGATGCTAGCCGACGGCACTTCTACATTTCAGTCATTGACAGCTAACCATAACTTAAGGCTGTGCACGCATAGCCAAAGAGAGTAGATCAAAGAGCCCACGTAGCCAATTCCATCTCCTTAAAGCACAACAAATTATAAAATGGCCCTCTATAACTGACATGCTCGATAAGATCGGATACGCCCCTTCCGACGGTTCCCCCTCATGAAATAGACAATCCCGCAACCAGAACCCAACTTCTCTTTCCCTTCTCTCTCTCTTTCTTCACACATTTTCAGAGCCAAAATCATCAATTGAAACCGGCAAGATTATAAAAAGCATAAGTCCAAACCGAACCACCCAAAATGTCCTACCAAATCGCATATGATACTGCCCGGGCACCTCCCCGCGGCGCCGCTCTCGTCGCATTTATGGAAGACTTCTACCGTACCAGCGATACAGAGTCCTTGCACGAGAAATACGTCCAGAGCTTCACAGAAGATGCAACTCTCATTATGGGTCCTAAGGAGGCGAAGGGTGCTAGTGGTATGCTTCATCCTCATTTCTCGATCACAACCTACAAATCAACGAAACTATGCAGCAAATGCAGCAAAGCCCAAGTCGATATCGACATATCTTGTCTTCGAATTTTGCTACATACAGCCAAAACCTACCCCACCGCATCTGTAAATATACCAACTGACAACCGCATTCAAAACAGAAATCCTCCCCCTCCGCCACGGTCTCTGGACTCATGTTGCCGCGCGCCAACACACGCCTACACGGATCTTCTTCAGCGGCGACGACGAAATTATGTTGTACGGTGGTGTGAACTATAGACTCAAGGCTAACCCCGACAATGAAGTCTATGTACCTTGGGCTGGACGGGTTGTCTTTGCGCCTCAGAAGGAGGGTGAGGGTGTTAAGATGCAGTTTTACCAGGTTTACTTGGTGAGTATTTTATTTCTTGACTTATTTGTCTTGTTCTGTGGTTGGAGTGTTGATGCTAATGGGTGTAGGATACTGCGGCTCAGTCGGGGAAGAAATAAAATTACATGTTGTCAGATAGAATTTGAGTAGATTTGTACATATGACAACGGCCAAGCTATG